TATTAGTGTGCACACACACCTGCACCATTACTCTATCAGTTAATGCTTCAGACTCGAGTCACATGTACCCACTCTGAAATTACCTGTCAGGGCGTCCAAGGGGACAATATGCTGTCACAGTGATCCCTTTGGATTGGCAATAGTCAATAAGCTTTTCCTGGGAAAGGTATGGATGACACTCGATCTGCCAACACAGGAGCAGAGACTGTGTATAACTACTGTAGTGTTCCCACACTCCAGAGATTTTCTTCTGAATCTTAATTTCTTAATTACAGGCTGCCTTAATCCCACCCTGCAATGTGGTCTGTGCAACAATACAAGACTAATTCTATTAGGCATCAACTTTTATATCAAGTCATCATGTGCTTGGATTTTGTTCTGGTTTTATAGACATAATTGATTACAGTCAGAATGATAGCTCATATACTGGATTCTTCATCCTTCCAGAGACTATGCTTCAAAGGAAAATACTCCAGGATTAGCAAACAGTGGTTCAACAAGGTAAAACATAAAGGATATATTCTGGTCCTTTTTGTACTGAGAAATATTCAGAGAGCAGGATTTAGAGTACATGCTGCATCTACTTAGTTTTCCTTATTTTCATCTCCTCATTCAACTGTAATCAGATCTTTATAAAGCCTGAGAACTATCCACCTGCAGTGACAGCAGCTTACCTGGTTATTTGCAGGCTTATATTTCAGTCCTGGCTTGTTCAAGATTCTTTCAGTCTGCTCACGGTTAAAGTTGGAGATTCCAATGGCTTTTACCAGACCAGCATCCACCAGCTCTTCCATGGCCTAACACAAAGAGGAGCAAAATTGCCATCCAGTGTACAAGACAGGGCCTGAATACATTCTTCCTTCTGTGGCTTGTTTCCCTTCATGTGAAGCACAACACAATTGTTTGGACATGCCAAGTTTTTGATTCTCAAGAGGAAAGTGGGGGCTAGTAATATCTGTGCCATGTGTTCTATCCCAGCAAAGCCCATAATCATTATTAAGACTGAAATTCACTGAGTTACACAAGGAAGAGAAGACTCCTAAGTCTACTATTGTGGCAGCACTGGAGGACTATGCCTTAAGGAGGACAGCAGGATGGCAATCTAAGTTTCAATTTCTGTAAAATCTGTCTGAACAGTTCAAGCACTGCATAAGAACTGTGATGAAGAAAAGTCATTCTGTTACGGTCAAGTAAATAACTTTTTCTAACCACCGTCTGGCCTGCAGCTCCAATGAAAGTGACTTTGCAAGCTCAGTGACTTGAGATGCTAACACAACAGTGAATTGGAATAATAGCTGGACTAATGATGTACATTCTTAAAAAGCTACGACATACTTTCATGAATTATTTCCAACTAATTCTGCATACATGCATGAGTCACTCTGTGACTGCTGAAGTTAACACCACTGCTGAGGACAGAAGATGTGATTCTTCCACTGTGGCTGAACTTACCTCCCACGTATGTAGAATGTCTGTGTTGCTGGGTATTGACATGCCTTTGTCATCTGTGGGAAACAGCTCCTCTCCTGCCTATCAGTGACAAAGAAGATGCTTGATAATCTATTGATAAGTTCCATTAGTACCATGGGAGCTCACAACCATGATAGCTTAAGCTTCTGCTGCAAGCAAGAACATTGACAACTTATTGTCTACATTCAGTCATTCCTTCCTGAGGAGCAGGAGGAACAGGAGGAATGTTTGCTTATAACCGTTCCCACAAAGTCAGGTTTTTCTGCTGGACCCCTCAAAGTGGTGACTCATCCAAACACCTACAGGGAAATAACCTCCAGTTTCATAATTCTTTTGTGCTCGCTTAAGAACTAGCTTGTTCTTTTTCCAGCATGGCATCGGGGGACTTAGGTGCTAGCAACACTTAATTTTAATCTATACAACACTAAATTTGGTCAAAAGAGGTATTACGTGCAGTGAGAGTTCT